GATCCGAAGGCGTATTCTTCGCCTTGCGCCGAAGAGGATTCCCTTCAGAATCGGTCATTCGGGCCAGGGCGCCTGTCCCGGACATTGCGCCCAACTCGATGATCTTGATGATTCTACAAGACCCGCGATCATCCATTTTCACTCTACTGTATTTAAATGCACCAATTACTATTTACACTGCTTCTGCGGTACTGTTTTCCAAAAATGTTTTAAATTCCGCACAAAAACAAAAAGTGGGTTACCACATATTATAATTTCAAGAACTGTAACTTACAAGAATTGTAGTTGAATATTCATCCTAGATACGTGAATACTGAACTGAGAATACATTGGACATCAATATGACTACTCAACTGAGAAGAGTAATGATATACTCTTCTCAAAACTCTGCTATAGCGTGTTGCTAGACCAAAAGACTGTATAAAGATAGAGCTTGGAAGCAATACATAAATGGGTTATCTAAAGTCTTGTTCAATTTCTAGAGGAGCAGTTCCTCCAAAGATGCATTTTTGATGACGTTCCGGGCTCAGAATTCAGAGCTTCCACTATTAGATAGTGAGACACCAAAGATCAGGAATTCACATTTCCGCAAATTCTGAAGAGGTCAAGAATGTAGGGCAATTTGAACAATATCCCCATGCGCTAAATTGATGGTGTCGTGACTGTCAACACTCCAAGAATATGCATCTCCAAATTAGGCACTTTTCCTCTTTCTCATGCGAACGTTGAATCAGATATGAAAATTTTGTTAACTCTTAATATGAACTATAGTCCATCAGTATTTTCGTACGATAGCCCGAAGACAAACAATACACCTCGCGCGTGACAGTAGACAACAAGGAATATGTCACGTCTACACCAAGATACCTCTGCTCGCAATGCATGTTGTAACAGAACACACTGGCGGCTTCCATAGGGACAATTCCTTACATCGATTCGTCTCCAGTAGATGTTTCATCATTGCAGATGACATAGGTTCGCGTGGGTCGGCGCGCACATACTCTTTCAGTTTATCCGGCCCTCTACTTGGCAGTTTCTTCCATGTAACAGTACTTCAAATGCAAAGGAATTGAGTTTCAGTAATTAATCGCTTCCCTCGCTTGGAGCTTACCATTCACCATTGCTTGAAAAACTCAACTCCTGAATGCATGCAACCGGAACAACTCGCTCCTGAATTTTCCATATCCACCGCCACAATTAATCTTTTGCTCGTGCTTAATCGAGTACTGCAGCACCAGAATCTTGTCTTTGTATCTCAAAACTTGCCCTGGAAACTCAATCTCCTTGCTGGGGTTACATTTGGAAGGGAGGTTGACGACGAAGCCCTCCCAAGTACATAGTAAAGTCGGTTTACTGCTTCGAAGTTCCGAAAATATTGGTCTTCCCCTTCCCTCATACCGTCCTGGATGTCCGCTCACAAACCCGCATCCTTGTTCACTTACTCTTCACGTACAGATCACGTATTCGATGTAGTGAAAATATATCGCCCAGCCACCAAAGATCTCATCGACGTCAGCTTGGAATCAGAAATGGGCTTTTGGGTATCAGTCTTCGATTCGGAAGCTAGTCCTCGGCTAAATAAAACAGTCTGTACCTAAGCCAAACAGGACACCTGAACCATTTAAAATATTCTGCATGTCCAGGATAGAAGCACGTAGGAAAGGAGTCTCATAACAGGTACAAAACCAATTGCTTCCAGCACGACAGGCACGTCCATCGAACAACGAACGATGAGTTCTTTCTTATGTGTCTTCACTTCACTTTGCAATGGACCAAAATGACTGCATTCGATTGAGAGTTTTGCTTGGGACTAAACGCATGATCGTAGAAGGTATACTGGAAAGTAGTGAGATAATCTCGCATCGAATTTGAATACTATACACTACACCGTTGTCCCACTACCGCAGCGTTCAGATCACACGATCCGCTTGAGACGATCAATCAGTTCTTTCTCTTCTTTTACAGCCTCACTCATATCTTTTGCACCAACCTTCTTGGCACTCGCAAACGCTGCACCCGCTAAGAGTGTGCATAGTACGATGTCGTCAACTATGAGGCACAATGGTGAAGGTTTCTGTCAAACAGCTTCCACAACAGCTTCTTTGAGAACTCTACGATACTTCTCGCTACCTAGTAAACCAATGCTTTCAGGTCCCAAGACCAACCCATGTGAAATACTTCCATCAACTCCTCAAACGTCTCCCCAAACGATCGTAACTTGTACTTAACATTGATCTCATCATGTATGACTTCAACTGTTTGCGATTGTCGGACAAAAACTTTCACATAGTTTCCAGGAAAGTACCGAACACATTATCTTCAGTGATCTTTACCCAATGAGCTAGCACACGATTCTAAGAGAGAAAAGATGAGTAACAATTTGCACGAAAAAAACCACAAAGAGAAAACTGAGAAGGCACCAACAAAAACCTGAACACAAGAACGAAAGCACGAACAGAAAACCAAGAAGAACCCAAGCAAAAATCTAAACACATTACATTGATTTATACACACAATTCTCCGAGTAAAATTAGAACATAACACAAAAGGTACAGAGTCGAGCCAAACTCACTACCCTGAGCTATTCTACCTCAGGGTAGAATAAGAGTCGAAGCTAATAGGAAGAATCCTGACGCCTAAGGCTCAACTCGAAGAACTGACAGTTCTTCGAGCTCGCCACGACTATAAACCTGGAAAGTCGACCTAGGTTACACTCCGCATCTCAACGTTAGCCGACTCCCAACGTCACCCGACTCAAATCTGAACTCAACGTCTATACACATGACAGCTTGCTCGTGATGAAAGCAGCAACGATTTCGTTGCCTTCAAATGATCAGGCAAATTTTACACAACTATACTAACCTCTTCTTCTTTTGCTCCTCTCAGTCCACGATTCTACTCTCGACGCAAGAGGAGGACTAGTCCATCATCCGGACAGGATCAATGAACTGCACCGGACGGGAAGAAAAAAACAGGAGAAAGTTTGCAGGCCTCATCATCAAATGAGAAAGCGCCACAAGTAGCGTCAAGGGGAAAACGACATCGCTGCAAATCCGTTGGACTCGAGGGCCTCTTCTGCTCGGCTGTGAAGACGCCTCCGCCCACATGCTCCACTCGAGGGTTGCAAAAACGAGACAGCCTGCTGATTCCGAGGCTTAGCTAAGCAAGTAACAGAAATTATTCAAATAACTACATATGTTAAAAATCTGCGGATGACATGTAAGTATGAGTAAAGACGAAGATTAAGAAAAAAGCCATAGAGAAACTAGAGACAGGAGGATATTCTATGGAGAGGCCATTATAGCATGTGCATGTTTCTCATCAACTTACCAAAAGAAGAATACTGGACGCTTTCATCATGATGCTGGTTGCCGGTGGAAAGTGTGTGCAAAAAAGTCAGTCTTCGACAATAATATACATAAAAAAAGTAATAGCTGTCAGAATTCGAATTTTCAAAAGTTTGAAGATATATGAAATGAATACGCACTTTCACAAAGAAACGCGAAGTAAGAATATGGGACAGAATATGGGACAGAGGATTCGTCTAATCTTTCATATTCCCTGGATAGAGCTGAGGGAAGTTCTTGCGAAGCATGGGTCATCTTCTAACACGGGAAGCGTAACGGTATTTGGTTGAGTTTAAGCACCCAAACTTAGTCGTAACGTTGAGGGGGAACGAACTCGAAACGAGCTTCAAGGAGAAAAGAGAACGCACCTAGGTTCATGTACATTTTGCTGGGAGCATATGAAATTGTATCATTTTGAATAAGTGGATTTTGCCGTCGGGAGCAAAAGACATGTACAGGCAAAAGAAATCCTCCATAGATGCAAATTAGACTGAACTCGTGTATAACACTTCCACTGAGTCTTCTAAGCTTTGCATATGATTGAGATAAGCAGAGCAGGCTTTCAAATTTTATTAAGCAATTTAAAAATAAAAATAAAAACACAAGTAATGTAAATAGTTATGCTTTAAGAATTGGAACTATCGATTTTAGTAATTCGGCATAGACGTATTACATTACTCTCTTTTAACTCTTCTCACTGGTTGCAGTTTTTCACAACCCTGGCTGGTAGTTACTAGCTAGTTAGTTACTAAGAATTTTGGTCATTCACATTTTTCTACTAGTCTGCAGAACGGACGAACACGTAAAGTTTCGGTGACCTCGGGTTGTCTACAGTCCAGTTTACTCATGAGATTTGAGTAGTCTGGCCTTTGTTTGTCGGCCCAGTTTGAAACGAATAATTTGTGAAGGATATGCTCAACATTTGCGCAAACGAGATACTCTTTCGTTACAGTGCAAATATAGGTTAAGACTCGTTCAATCTCTTGATGCTTTTCAACAGCATAGAAGGGGGAAAAACAATTATTGACTTCGGCAAAAATCCAGGGCGGGGTTCAACTAATCCATGAAGCTCAACTTCATCAGAAGGCAAGAACTTACCTGCAATGCCCACGAAGAATTTCCCTTAAAAGACATTTGATCATGGTCGGTGATACAGTGGCGAAGCAAAATATTATCAAATTCCACAGCAGATGACCGGATTTCTAGCAGAAAAAAGGCTTAACTCCATCCCTCATGAGTTGACAACGGTCAATATCTCCAGAACAGTTCAGAAGTGCTAAGATCATGAATCATCTTTGCTGATTCCTTCCTTCTCCTGCTCATATCTATAAACGGAAGTTCAATGAAGACACGTATGCATCCACCCGACTTTCAAGATTCTGCGGGAAGAGAGATCTGTGACGAATGAGCGAACGCATACATTACAGGATCTATGGACATTTGACACATACATTGCAGGGTAAACGTTTGCTAATAGAGAAAACACTGAATGATCCTTGCATATCAGATTGTCGCTCCATAAGCATTATCTAGAAGTACAGTTCGAAAAGAAATCCACCTCGAGAGATCAAACAGATGCGCAGCGTGCAACAAGAAAACAAAGACATCGAGTGGTGTGACCAGTCGAGCAGCACAAATCAGTCCGGGCTTCCAGAATTCTGGATATTTTGCGTCCTCTGCCTGAACGTTTGAAATTGTCCTTTATATGTACAAGCCCCATGCCCTGAACATAGGTATAAGGGTCAGGCACTTAAATGTGCGAGGGGCTGTAATGACTATTCAGAATCATCCAGCCTAATTTTCAATTCATCAATGAGAGTCTACGTGCTGGTGACTTCTTATCCACAAACCTAGTCCATTTACAATACATCTTCTGCTTCAGATCCCAATCCACGAAGGGGATCTGGTGTGGTACACACTTCAAGCATTTGCTAAATAACTGTTTTATGGGTTCCTCAGAGAACCCATGAACAAACCCGCATCACCTTTCGGCACCCATAATGGCTTTCTCTGTGCCTGTGCCCTTGCAATGGGGGGAATACTTACTCCTGAATTAGGTAGATTCACGGAGACAGATGGTTCTCTACTGTGTTTAGTAACACCTTGTTCCGTAGACTCTTCTTCGACTCTGCCCACAGAATTAGTTAGAACTGTGTGTCTTTCCGTAACTGGCGTTGAATGGAGAGTAGGTACAGCAGTAGCCGTAGAGCTGGATGAAGGATAAAAAGATGTAGGAATCTCCGATGGGCTTAATTGCACTACTGGATGGTATGGTGCCGTCACATTACAAGTTGCCTGACTTGATTGGCTTCCTGGAGGAATAACTACGTGAACTGCTGGAAGAACAGAAACTGCTGCAGCAGACGGTGGGTTCACGCTAGTACTTGTTCCTACGACGGAAGAACCGGATCCAAGTTGCAAGTGCCTCTGACGATTCCTTGCTGATTTCTTCAGCCCGGCAGAGCTAAGAACAGGTCTAGTTGTGGGGGGAACGGCCGCCTGAGAAACTGGAGGGTGATTTGAAATGGAAGCTACTATCTCAGGTGGAGGAACGGATATACCGGGAGGTCTTGTTAAGTACGTTGCAGGGATATCCCCATTTGAGCTACACTGCGGGGACTGCAAACCTGCGAGCGGTCCTTGGCCCTTGTTTGTTAAAATTCCAGAATGTCCAGGTCCCGAACTGTGCAGGCATGGCGTAGTTGTAGGAGGCGGAAGAGAAGCATCGGATGCGAGGGTAGGAGGACGTGCAGACTGAGATGAACAAATTTCCCCTAGTAATCCAGAACTTGCAAGAGCTGCACTATTGACGCATGGATTAAGACATGGAGGAACGTATGAATTAGGAGGTGGACATGCGGACTGAACTGAAATGTCTCTGGGTGATGAAGAATACCCAAGTTCCACACTTGGAATGCCCGGAGTAGGACCCGCAACTTGAACGGACTTGCCTCTTCCACACGTACCGGAATGTCCAAAACTCGTACTCTTCATGATTAGAGCTGGAGATGAATTTCCACTTTGAACGGACTCGTTCACTCCAGGTAATCCTGAATTCTCTTGCATCGCATTATTTATACCCGAGGTACGGTGTGAACCAGCCAACTGCAAAGAGCTGTCTCTAAGTAATCCATATATGCCAGGTGCTCCGCTGGTGTTGATGCTTGAAGAAAGAACTTGACCTGCCGGAGGAACAGAACCGTCTCCAAAAGAAAGTCCCGTGTAGCCTAGTACTGCATTGTTACCACCTGGAGCCAGAGGAGAGACTACAGATTGAACTGCAATATCTCCTCCCGTTGCTGGGATGAGTCTGTTGAGATGAATACCTATACCTTCACTAGAGATTACTCTCTCATATATGGCGCCTGAAACTGGAATGTAGGACCCAGCCATTTGGACAGGAGATGTTACCCCTAGAAAGACAGGAGAGTTTAGAATCCCAGTTTGCCTACAGTGTGAGAAAGAGAACGATCCCGAAACTCCTGAAGTCAAAGACGAGGGAGAAATTTCAATGGGCACTTCATAAGTTGCAGTAGAAGTGGGTACAGATCTCCCCGCGGCATCAGATCTAGGTACCGAAGGACCTGGACTTATGCGCCTCCTTGAGTCTTCCTCTTGTCCCACCTCCAGTTGGAGATCGGCTGTTTTCCTCGGCACTGAAGTTGACTTTCGTCCTTCGGTTTCGAGGCTAACATCTGAACAACTTTCATCCGAGCCACTTGTGGGATTATACTCGTCATCCTCCTGACCGTCCTCTTGACCATCCACATTTTGCTGGACGGAGTATTTGACTTGTTTTCTCCTCCGCTTTCCTCTCCCAAGTTCTTCTTTCTCATCTTGCTCAACAAGCTTGCATAACAACTCTCTCCATTCCTCGCCATACCCTCCTTGTTTAAGGTTCGCCGCCTCTTTGCCAGCATGTTGACTGACATCCTCATTTCCTTGCACAGCTCCAAGAAAACCATGAGCATCAGTTTCGCGCAGACTTGATCCGGGGGTTGAACGATCAAGTAGCTTCAGAACACTCTCGTTTGTGTGCTGGGTGTATCTGGCTCTGACATGCTGCTCATCCAGAACGTTGTTCAGACCATGAAGTAGTATTGTACTGATGTCTGCCGCAGTTTCTTTAATGTGATTGGGGACATTAAATCCCGAAGTAATGACCGAATTCTCCAATGCAAGTTTCTTCCTAGAGCGCTCTAAAATCTTCTCTTCGACGGAAGACACAGTCACAAGTTGATAAACAAGGACGATTTTTTCCTGTCCAATTCGATGAGCTCGTGCTTGAGCTTGTACGTCCACAAACGAATTGCAGTCGGGATCTGCACATAAATCGACACAAGGCCGAATCAGTAGTGAAAAACTTTCAGCAAACATTATAAATATTCTTTCAGTTGACAACAACGTCATTATTCTGAAATCCATTTGATATTTACGGAACTTCTCAAAAAAGCGAACCTCACCATTGCTTTTATGAGAAAGCTTTCTGCTTCTACTAACTAAAACCTGAAGAACACTCCTCTTAAAATAAATCAAAAGCGAAGAATTTACAACTTACCATATATGATTACTGTGTCTGCACTTGGCTGTTGAGGTTAACAAACGTTAAGTGAATTAGTACCATTCCATTGCATATTGAAGAATTGACAGACAATATCATAGTTGTTTTCGAAACATTCACACAGACGCTTCTGATCTATGTCGGCTGCAGTGAGAATTAGACTAAGGATTTTAACTGCTACCATCGACTCCATACATTCAAGGTACACTCTCTGAATTATTCATCTCACCAGATTGATTCCAAGTCCTCCGCCTCGAGTAGAGATAAGAAAGATGAACGTGCTACTTTGTGGATGGTTGAACTCGGCAATCAACTTCTGTCTGTCTGTCGCAGAGGTGGTTCCGTCAATTCTGAAAGAGTATTGAGACAAGGAAATAAGTAAGGCAGCAGACAGAAATACGAATGCATATCACGAGAGAATCTTTCTACTAAAGAAACCTCTCTCTCTCTCTCTCTCTCTCTCTCTCTCTCTCTCTCTCTCTCTCTCTCTCTCTCTCTCTCTCTCTCTCTCTCTCTCTCTCTCTCTCTCTCTCTCTCTCTCTCTCAAATAATGAAGCTAAGTCAGCTGACTCACCGACAGAAAGAGAGACCCATAAATCTCAGAAAATCTTCCATGATATCAAGCATTTTTGTCATTTGTGAGAAAAGAAGCACTCTATGTCCACCATTCTTCAGCATGGGAAGAAGCTGCAGATATTGAGAAGCCCGGTCAAAATACATTAGGGTCCGTAAAACATTACAATGAAATAGCCCTTCGGAATCTGGTAAAAAAAGCGCTTCAATACTCATCACTTACGATAATGCCTTCCACTAAATCTACTGGTACAATATGATAAGCTACTCTCAGATAATATAACAAATTTCGGAAGTTTATAACACGGTTGACGAACCTTTTCAAGAAATACTAATTTTCCAGAGACGTCCACCATCGTTCTTAATGCTTCTTCAGGTTTAAGTCCTTGTGGTTCCTTATCTGGAAAAAGATACTGAACAATAAAGAAAGGGGAAATTATAAGCCCCTTTTCTGAACAGGTGAATCAGGAAGAACATTCCGCCCTTATTATGACACTGGACTTCCAGACGATTACTTAGAGAAATTGCTCAATTTAGAAAAGTACTCACTAAAGAGTCTAATTCTTCACACATCTGCCTTCACGTTACGGTCTCTTAGCGTAACCGAAGACCAAGAACCGAAGGATGACTTGGTCTTGAACTTATTTAACATACTCGTAAAAGGTTCTAACGGTGATCAGTAAGAATGTGCAAATAGCCTTCAGGACAATATCCAAAAAAGAAAATAATGCTAATTTGAAACAAATTGAAGCACTAATAAAAGTCCTGCATGTTTCTCAACATTGCCCAACTCCCTATATTGCAGCCCAACAACTATTTGGACAAAGAATAAGAGAACAGCCAGTAGGAGTAAAATTTACCGGATGATTGCAAACCATCTTCAAATCCGTAAGAATGTTGTTTAAAGATCTTTTCAATCCTGCACATTCCACATAATTCTCTACTTCAGAAAGTCCTATGAGGGGGTTCTAACGTGTCTACTTTAATATCAAATGCAGGTTATATGGATGTGATCAAGTTTACCACCCGAGGACGTCGAGATCAAGCAGTAAGAGTTTACCCATTTCGACCACAGAGAAATTCCGTATATATAAGAGTACAAACAAGCACGACTTGTTGAAAAAAATTGATGTACTTAACGATAAAGGACAGGAGTTTAACCTGATTGCACACCCGCATTCAAGACTTTCAGATTCTTCCTCAGGATGGCAGTGTACAGATGTCGTTGTTGCTTTGTCAGAGCGCAAGAAATTTCTACGATCTTCTTACCAGGTAAAGTCAGTCCAGGCACCTCGTTCTTCACCCTTCGCAACATCCTGAATAATCAAGCCAGTAATAAGAGGCCACATCCCATACCCTAGTTCCTGGACAGCTTACAAGAATGCTATTTAGAGTACGACCAAAGTAAGTATCAAACAAGAAGCTCTTCGAACATAAACTGTAAGAGTATTTTGATCGAAAGTATATCACTCCTTATAGATAAATCGTCTGAAAGATTCTCAACAGCTTAAGGTATCGCAGACACACATCGTTAGGTTGACATATTATTGCCAGTACCATCAATGCTCATTATAGTGTATTATTCCATTTGCTTGCGTATACACCATCGAACTTGGCAGCACTCAATGCTTCCGTTGAGCTAAAAATCGAAACAAACCATCGAGCATCCATATGTTCGAAGACTTAACACCCTGTAAACAATAAAGCACAAAACCCAGAAGAATAAACAAACTTCTCATTTGTACTTACCGGGGTTTCAACAGCTCTTGAATTCTAGACAAATGTTTCAGCCTTTTCTCTGAATCAGCAGAACTAGCATGACCATCATCGACTGCTTCAGTGAACTCCTCTGCAGCACTATCCGGATTTGGATACTTCACTGGATCGAGGAAATGAAACAGTGAAAAAAATTCAGCCAAAGTATTCTGCAGAGGCGTGCCCTGCAAGTTTCAAAGAGGAACACAATTAGATCCATAAACGTAAAGCATAATGGAAGAAGAATATTCAGAGGAGATGATCCTTCCAATAATATAAACATATATTCACTTGAAAGATGTGAAACTTACAGTTAAAAGAAGCCGAAACTCAGCCCGATGCTCTTTGAGCACATTTCCTAAATTTGATCGCATATTCCTCATTCTATGTCCTTCGTCCACTGTTCACATATCCAGAGTCCCAATCACAAACTATGAAGAGCATTGGAAAAAAACTACACCTGGTGAGCAGATCAGATGAAACAACTTTGAGATTCTGAAATACTTAAATCAGCTCATTTGGATGCAGAGCAAGACGAGTTTTATTGCGTAAGTGGACTCTTTGTTACAATTTGAAGGCAGAAGCCATACCTATGATTGAAGACCAGTGGAACTTGCACAACAAGGAATTGTCAAGGGTGGCCAATTCATATGATGTCAGAAGCACATCGAACAAAGGTCGTTTGTTGTGCGCGTAAAATTCATACTTCCTTATCAAAAGTCTGTTGTCCTTCTCACCCTGGTACACTACAGCATTCAATCCAGGCGCCCAAAGTTGCAACTCCTGCGTTCATGATCGGAACTAAACTATGAGGACATCTGGATGAGGGTGTCGCAAGATCAGACACAAGGCGCTCTATTCGTAAGAGACATATTAAGCCAAATATTGCGTCAGACAAAGTGATGCATAGGCAAAATATGCTGTTTGACCCTTCACAGCAAGATGGGGTGATGAACACTTCGAGTGTAATACACAGCTCTTGAGTGAACTCTTAGGAGTTGAAAACGACAGACTCCCATTTCACGCTGCTTGGAGGAATCCAAACTCAATTGCATCACACTGAGCCAAATGCTAACCGACTCCACGTAGGTGACAAGGACAACCTCATATCCCAACAGCAATATACTGACGCAAACACGCCAACAGTAAACGGGTGCCTACACCTTACATAAAAGAAAGACATAAACTGGACGAGAAAACTCTTTTTTAAATCGAAAGCCTTCTACTATGTTATTGGGTCTGTGGTCTCAACATGGAAGTTTACAGTGTGGTGTTACAACGGTGCTTGATGTGAGGTGTACCATTCGAACAAACACGAATCGACCATATCTTCCAGCAGAAAGAGTTTATGCAGCCTCAGATATGTATGCTGTTATTTTGAGAGAAGGATGGTAGAACAGAGGGAACTAGCCGCGGAGATTAAGCCTATAAGGGATCTCATCTCGTGACCGGTTCCGACGACAAACCTCAGGTGATTGCGTATTCGGATGAAGACGATTGACATCTCTCTTTATCTCAACATCCATCGTGCACTAGTTTTGATATATGGCGGTCTACCTACAAATGAAGTGATTGACAGCATACTGAAACGCATGAACATCACGTATCATTTTATCAGAGATGCAGTTTCTGATAAAGATCTGACGAGTGGAAAACACAATGGCTTGCATGCTTGTCTTGACCAACCTGTTCCCATCCAGAAAGAGTACTTTTAGGAGCAATCACGAGGGCTGGCTTACTGCTGAGTTTTTCATTCCTGACACAAGACATGAATGCAATGGTTTGTATTGTTTTTCCGAGCCCCATCTCATCTGCACAATGCAGCACAGTGTTCAGTAGGTAGGAGATTCTGCGAAGTGAAATAAGTTTGGCAATAGTACTTATCTCTTGAGATGAACACTAGATGGATTTGACTATTGAAAGCTCATAGAAGATTCTGTAAGACAGAATTAAATATGTAGACAGCTGTACAGATAATACAGAAAATACGGCAAACAGAAGGGAACCTAATCTCAAACCTCTTGCATGCTCAAAAGGAACTAACATAGAAGAATATCGTGTCAAGCTATGATGTCAGAAATAAACAAGAAGAGGAACGTCAAGGTAAGCAATCGTACCCGCAAGGATCACATTTCTTCTGGATTCAAAATTGCTCAGCAGCCACTTCAGGCCTTCAATTTGATAAGCATACATCGAGTTCTTCCCAACACCTACATAATCTGGCTGACGATTGATGCTGACAGCCACAGACTCTCCAACACGTGTGCTAACCAGTTCCTTTTCCGCAGATTCATGTCTTGAAATAAAGGAAGAGACTGCTCTTTGCATTTCCTTGGAATCAGTACCCTCCTCCCATGTTGCGGATCTATAATCCAGACCCTGCCATTTAACGAGAAACTGGATGCGTTCGCGGTTCCACTTGCTGTTTTTAAGTTCAGAAGGATTAAGAAGATGACTTCTGCCACGACACTTGAGGATGCGATCAATCAGTAGCCACTCCGGTTTCCTCTCATCAACGAGGGTGTCGTCAATCTCTTTGGAAAGGTCAATTTTCGGTAGATCCCTAAAGAGAAATCACAAACAAAAACAAGAACGTTACTTCCTATACAAGACAGACAAATTACTAAGCTATCTGCGACACAGATATCACAATGAAGCACGTCCAGTCTCTCCTTCATTAAGGTTCATGCGTCTTCTCTCAGCGGTGGATTCACCTAGACCTGTAGGATGCAACTGTAAATGACCTTCAAGATATTCTCTTCAGAACATCCTAGGCACAATTAGGTGATGTAGGAGACTGATAAGGACCAGGACTAGGAAGATTAGAGGATCGGGATTTCAGATTCATCAAGCCAGCCCACAAGTGCTTAACTGTGAATATTACAAGACAATAATATTGTGCGGTGGGCATCATCACACATACAACACCAACAGAAAAATTGCAGACTCGGAAAGTTTCCAAAGAATTCATGCATAAGTGGCTGGAGTGTTAATTGATATGGAGCACTGTACAAGAACTAGCCAAATCTTCCACAAGGTAGTGAGCGTGGACAACGTTTATAAAAAGGAGTAGAATGGGGGTAGCTTACGGATGTTTAGACTCAAAAATGGATGCGTATCGCTTCCGCTCCCCAACAAACCAAGTTGCATCGATCTGCCATATGAACACAAGAGAAAGTAGAAAGAGTGAATAAAATTTGTCTATTGCCCTGAATCTTCATCATACGCGATCTCTATCAATTTTACGGGCCACCTGCTACCTAGTGAGCAAGAAGTTTCAAGGATTTTTCTATGAACTAACCTCATTCAGACCAACCTTTGAAATCTAAGTAGGCAGCAAGTTACATTGCAGGAACCAGCCGAGGAAAACTAATGGAAGGGACCGCGTAAGTACCCATGTATCGTGCTTGTGCGAAAAGGAATCCCACTTCACAAGATACTCCATCCGTTTATGTTCCGTGCGCTTCAACTCATCCTTCACCAGATTTGAACGTCTACCAATGACAGCTTGAATCCTCTTAGGTGGAAACCTTTTCGGGGAGCATATCTTTACGTTCTTATTATGAGTTGCCATAAGTGCACAATGAAGACAGGTCCAGGCATCTGTCGGTACTTTTTGGAGTGGAGGAGTTAGACAGAAAGTGTGGATAGCACATGTGCAGCCACGTTCTTGTGCATCTTCACAAAGGAGCATTTGATCCTCTGCATCTTTAAACTGTACAGGACAACGTTATCAGCTATTGTTCACCTTTTGCCGTAAAATAGATGTATCACAAATCTTACACAAGAAAAAGGAGAATGACTCGGGTGATGCCCCTTTCCCTCTGCGACTAAACATATGCATGTAAATAGACTTGGTTATTGTGAACTTAAGACCAAGAAAAAATCCTATTATCTGATTCAGATATCTAAGCAGACAAAGTCTGTTACAAGTCCCCAGAAGGTGAGGTTTTGTGACTCCTCGAGAAATGAGGAAACAAGATAAGCCAGACAATTACAGGAAAGAAGATATGAGGTATGATACTTACATTACAGATGTTGCATACAAGTTCAGGTGGGACGCTTTTCTGGTCCTGATTTGGAGTATTCTCCTCGCCTATCTGTCCTAGCACCTGTCCTCCGTGTAGTTGCCCGGATTCGGTATCGAAGTTTGAAACTACGTTTGATACTTTGTCCGCACATGTTTCCATTGCCTGTGAAATGAGATCTGTAGATACAGTCAGCTCACCAATAGTACGACCTGCTGTCGGCTGTTCCTCTTTAAGTGTGTCGATGGACTGTGATTTTACATCTACAGAAGCAGTCAGCTCGCAGACTTTCTTACGCGCTGTCGCCTTATCATTAGCAGGCGTGACTTCTTCTAGTACTGCTGTGACTCTTTCCATTGTTTTTGGATTCCCTGATGAGGATTCTTCATGACCTCTTAGATTCAAAGGTTCCTGTTCGAAGCCCTTCACCATTGTATTGCTGTCCCTTGGGCACTCATCATAACAACCTGTCCCAGTTTCAAACTCGTCCTCACTATCAGAGCAAAGTCTTTCTCCCCACGACGGGTACTCAGGCTCAGCTTCAGGCTGAAGTGCCACGCAGACTTCTTGAGTGTATTCTTGGTTCTTCATTGGCTCTGCAATTGCATCTTGCCTTCCTTCAGTATGAGGTTTGTCAGACTTTGGGTGTGCAGGACTTGCACATGATTCGTCTCCAGATGAACGCGTTTGAAGCTGGTTACCGTTCCCATGAAGAGGAGCCGACAATATTCCACTTTCTACTTGACTTTGAGAGCGGGGTTCATAAAGTTCATCGCCTGCAACTTCCGGAACTTGCAGGATATGGTTGGCTGCTTGGAATTGTCGAAGTTGTTGGATTTCATTCGTCCCTGCTTTGCGGTCAGTTCGCTGTATCGACGTCATTCCTGTGATCAAAAGAGAATTCGTCCGATTCACTGACTGTACACCTCCATTTATAACCCCATTCTTCACTTTACCTTGTATGACGATGATTCCTTCTCGTCCTTCCTGTCTCGTTCCTGTTCTCGTTTCTGAAAGTTTTCCGGTGTCGCCACACTTTCGCTTCTTACCCGTTTTTACAAGTTCAGTCTCAGTCGCAACCACCGAATGGCCATCATTGTGTGAATCAGCTCGAACAGATAATTGAATAGCTCCATGCTGCTTCTTTGAATGTTGTAGCTCAATCGACAATGGTGTTGACCCTTGTCGTTTAAACCTCCTGGGAGAGATATTGTTCGCAGCTGACGTATTCCCTTTCAGCGCAGGTCGTACTGCTTCCTCGGCATCGGATGTAATCTTATAATACGCATCTCCGTTTCCTTGTTCCTCAACTACAACTGGTAATCCACCATTCTGGAAAAGCTGACCTTTTGAATATATTGATCCGGTTGCTACATCTTTCCCAACCGTTAAGCGGACCTCTGTCCATGTCGGCTGCGATTCAGGCTCTGATTCCCGAAGGACCACAGGTTTGGTTACTGATTGTGAAATAACAGGAGAAGTGGATATCTGTTGGCTCTCATCTTGGACAACTTTTCTCGGTGGCCTTCCAGGGGATTTTCGGAAATGTCGTCTAGAATACTTCCTCTCTGCAACATCTGTAGCAACGGGCTTTGACGAGTTCAATGGCGCATCCTCTGCAACATCGGGGGATGAACCGGTCGCTGACGTGCCAACTGTAATTTCTGGTACATACTCAGCAGACACAGAGGACACAAGCACCGAAGGGGCTACAGTTGTTGCAGCTTCGTCGTGGAAGACAAATCTTGTCAACGCAGATGATTGATCTTGAGTTTTGTGCTCTCCTACAATCCCTTTCTGGAGTTTCTTAGCCGAACCTCCACCATTTCGGTAAGATCTAGCACGTCGTTTGTAGCTTACTAAACCTTCATTCCTGCTATTGTCCTCTTTCAATAGAGAGGGCAAGATAGGAGATGCTGATGGTGGCGGTGTGGCTTCAAGACTACTCAAACACTCTACCTGAACTGAAGATTTCCGGGGCCTACCCCGCTTCTTCTGAGTGGGGGTCAATGTGGTTACCATGGTTCGAATTGCAACATCATCCACCTTGGCACCACACACATCTGTCCTATTTACCTGCGCGGAACTGACAGAGTCTGGATTCAACACTTTTCTGGCCACGTCTTTTAAACCGTCTTCTTTCCTACAAAGAGTCACATTTGTATCATCCCCTTGCACGGTCGCAGCGCATAAAAGCAGCCTTTGTGTGACTGGTTCAACAAGAAAACCACACTCCTCGCTTTCATTCTCAGTCTCGTCGGGAGGAGCCAGCGTCTGCAATGGGACGGGACACGGCTCGTGTAGTCCGGACTTCCTAGGACGACCTCGCTTTCTTGGCCTTACCGTCTCTACATCCTCTAAACTCTTGTCAACATTCTGGCATCGATTTGTCCCTTCCACCACATGACCGATCATCATTTTGTTTGCCTGAGAATCTACAGGTTGAGGCTGGTGCCCTTTTCGAGGTCTCCCTCGTTTCTTGAGTCGTACCTGTTTCTCTTGTACTCCTACAACAATTTCTGACTCACCAATGGGACAGGAATCCTCAATTTGTGAGCATTGTTCCGATATCTGATTTTGCATCTTATCCGACAGCTGCTTATCCTGTGTCTTCGCAACCTTAAAGGACAACGGTCGAACTGGAGGGTTTAGACCGGCATGGTCCTTGACCCTCGACCCGACCTCAACAATTGCTGACACTGCTTTCCGAGGACGCCCTCGTTTCCTCTTGACCTCAAATCTGGTCTCTGAAGCTGTAGTCTCCGGTACAGTATCCTTCTGTTTCCAGGACGAAACCATAGGCTTTGTAGGATTCCAGTCCTGATCCCCTTTCAAACCAGACACCGTGGTCTCAGAATCATCCTCAACATCTGCGACAATCTTAGTACCTGATGATCCGTTGGATACCAGGTGTTCTCCTTTGTGAATACCTTGGGTATCCTTTTGTTCCGAAAGTTCCTTGGTGATCACAGTACCTGCACCTCGTCTCCCAATGATTTCATCATCATCGGAGTGCATGAATTCAGCTAAGCTAGCAGCATGGTTCATTTTCTTCTTCTTCTTCTCAATAACATGAGCTTCAGAGAGGAAAAACGCTTCTCGTAAACTTCCTGCATTCATTTTCCCCCCATCCTGGAGCTTCTTCTTCTTCCTACCACGTATTTTCTTCCCTCCAACAACAGTTCCAGAAACAAAAGTCTCGTTCAGCAAATTGTCTGACTTATAAATTTGCACATGTTCCTCGTGCGCTTCCTCAGCCAAATTATAACTATTACCCTCTGAGCCACGAGAAAATACGTCTGGAGGTCCGATGTGATTACAGGGTGGCATGGTGGAGATATGACTGTTCGAGTCAAGTATTCTGTACTCTTTCTGGACTTGCACTGAAGACTTGCCTTTGGTTCCATCTCCCGTCCTGCGCTTCTTAGTGACTTTTGAAAGGCCTTCAACCTTCAATTGTATGACGGGGGCTTCCTGGGGTTTTTCTTCCATGTCTCGTCCCTCTGCGTCCTTAGTAACCTCTCTAAGAGTCTTCTTAGAAATCTTCCTTCTCTTACCTGTAGGGGGAGCCTCGCCTACAATATCGGCCTCCACCCTAAGCACCTCCTTGGGAGCCGGTCGAGGAGTTACAATCTCTGGAACCATCCCTTTTCTCTTTGACTCCTTCTCCTTGACCACAATCTCTGGAACCATCCCTTTTCTCTTTGATTCCTTCTCCTTGACCACAATATCTGGAACCATCCCTTTTCTCTTTGATTCCTTCTCCTTGACCACAATCTCTGGAACCATCCCTTTTCTCTTTGATTCCTTCTCCTTGACCACAATCTCTGGAACCATCCCTTTTCTCTTTGACTCCTTCTCCTTGACAACAATCTCTGGAACCATCCCTTTTCTCTTTGACTCCTTCTCCTTGACCACGGTTTCTTCCTCGTCCATCATCGCAATCGGTGTATCACCTGCACAAATTGTACAATCAAAGAATCAAATTCCAAATCTGAAACCATCAGGTTGTAACCAAACTAACGGCAAGGCTCTCTTCCGTAGGATACCTGTTGATGTAAAGAGCTCTCGTGCTGCAGTCCAGTCCAGTGCTCTTAGCAGGAGGTCCTTTACTCGGCTAGCCACATCTTCAAAATTTGTAGCTTCTTTCAATTTTGCTAGCCACTCTCCGCTCTGCAAAAGTAATCTTCTTAATTTGGATTATTTTAAGGCTGCCAACTCGCCTGTCATGAGCTACTTAATGAAAAACATAATATCATAATGATCGTATCGATCGTAAAACAACACAATCAACATAAATTAAAAGGGAGATTCGGAGTTCATTACTGGGAAGCTGCAAGCTGAGGAAAATCATGGCAAGAACAATTAAATGGTAACAAAGCCAATTTTTGACCAAGCACAAGGCAATCAATAAGCATAAATGATTCATGATAAGGCATGATAGACGTTAACTCGAGACACAATCATATGCTATCATTATTAGACTATATTACATGGCAGATTTCTACGCCTTCAGCTCTGTATAGAATTAAACATCTTCTTTGGTTCATAACTGAAAGGAGTTGGGATTGTAAACCGTACGTTACAGATATCATCATTGTTCCTACCAGCCTGCACAATCTCTGCTGACTGTATAGGATCCTAGACGAAATTCAAGTAGAAGCCAGTGACACAAGTTTTCACTGCTTCCTACAACAGGCAATACGAAATAAACGCATTAATTGATTCGGTCCTGGTTTCAATTTCCGGCATGGAAATGAATAAAAGGGACAAACTAAATCAATTTAGTCTTCTACGTTGATATATACTAGCATGATATCGAAAATTGTAACCTTCATGGGGATGTCTAAATTTCCATTTGAGATTTGATGTTTCAGTAGGTTAGGTTTACCTACATCTTCTACTTGGCTCTATCAGTGCTAACACCACTTACGGCAAGGAAAGTAAATTTCTATACTGTAGGCCACTTTTGAAGCTATTGAAATAGTCCAATTAAAACTTATCAGGTCAATACTGTAGCAACAACAATTTTCGGCTCGGTGCTTCTAGTATACATGCTCGTAGTTTCTAAAACACGACACTTTACAGTTTACTTCACTACTGTATGTGAACTCATCATATGAGAAACTCTATTAAACATTCAACAGGCCTCCTCGGCCTGTTGAGTGTTTAATAAAGTTTTAATAGTTTGACAGAGCTGCACTTTTAGCTGTTGACATGCGGGTAAACATCATATAATTGATATCAAGTGATCCAGACGTCTGCACCTGAGCCTTCCACCATGGAGTGGTGACATCAACCTTCCCCTCGATGTCTAGAACCTTGATTTGTTCGCCAAATGTAGTTGTCAATTTTACCAACCCCGAGAGGTTGCGAGAGTTTGCTGCTATCTTCACATTGGCCTGCCATTTTTCCCACCACTGCCTCGAGTCCCTACGTACGGCGAATTCCGGGAGCCTATCCGCTGCGTATACAGAAAGAAAAAAGAAATAAATGAGTCTGATGATAAGAACCTCTAAGCCACCTTGTGCTCAAACTCTGACTGCGAACACGTAATAATGCCTTCCAACCAGCTGACATACCCATATCTACGAGAGTATTGTGAATGTAATGTAGAAGCTTTCTCGAAAAACGTCCTGCATCATCCGCCAAGTATCTCTCTCTCAATTTTCCACCCGAAATTCTTTTATACTTCACTTCGGACAGCCGAAACTCTTCCCTTTCACCATCTTCATATAAAACCTTGCACCATTCAGTTTCTGGATCGAAATCGGTCACTTCTGCACTATACCACGTATCGTCACCGTCCCAGTACACCTTAATCCCAGTCCCCACTTGCACTGGTCCTCGCCCTCGCGTCATTTTTACTCAATCTTACTCACACTCTCTACAGACCTGCTCGAACTCCATGATTCAACCTGTCAAACTCCAGCTGTAAGCACTCTACAAAAGTGGTCCCATATAATCTCCCCGGTGCATAGCTACGCGAGAGGACCCAGCGTACACCAGAAGCTTTGCATGCCCAATGCTTCAGATGAGCATCCCAGATGAACACATCGATATAGTCTCACGGAGCGAAAATAGCAAGAAGCACCTCGGGTAGCTCCAAAAAGCCGATGTTCTGAATGCACTTATTATATCTATCGGTCAACAAGAAAAGCTAGTACTGATCAGGAGAAGTGGCTGGAGTGACTAACAATTGCTTCGAGACGTGAAAGTAATGATCACCATAGCAGGCGATCTGAGAGATCTTGGGAGGCAAGACTCCAGGTGAGGGAACACCGGAGGAGAGGGAGAGAGGAACAGATAGCTATGTGTGCGCGTACGCTTGTGCAAGCATGTACACCGGATGGGACACAGAAACACTTAAGGCGAATTGTACCGAGGAATCAGAGCCGAAAAAGGCATCTGCTTTGCATCAGTGCAATCAAGCGAAGTCGAGCATCAGTCTCCAGCGTAATCACCATCCAGAGTAATCACGGTTCCACACCGCTCCAGACTAACACACTGCCCTAAGCGTTGTCGAACATTGATTTCCGCGCTTCACTTCCCTTCCTCCTCTACTCATCTCAACTCGCTTGGCAAAAGCGTACGAAGGGCACACATTCCCTTCTATTCTCCGGCCCTCGGGAACCATCGACGTAAACCCCTGACAAACTGGAGGCTATAAAAAGCAAACCCTGCCCCGACTTGCCCGAGGTTAGGCCCGCCCTGCCCAGTCTCACTACTCCGCAGTATCGTAAAATAGCACGACACCATCAACACGACGCCTACGAACTAGCTAAGCCCCGACTCCCCGAGCTTCAATTCAGCTTCGTCGACTTCGACCCTGCTACGCCTCCTCGTCCTCATCCTCCTGCTCCTGCTCCTGACCTCCACACCTGTCTTGCTAGCTAGCACACTCAAAGGCCCGTACCGTCGCCATTACCTGCTTTCCTCCTTTCTTTCACTCACCATCGCCAGGTCTGTCTCGGATGGCTGCCTTCCTCGGCGCATGAAATGGAAAGCCAGCCACCGGAAATCGAGAAGAAAACGCGCCATGTCGATCATCGCCAGCTCCTCGGGGCAAAGGCAAATTTTGCCTAATCCAGATTGAGAAGTTGGCGAGCAGCGCTGTGTTGCTCCAGACCAAAGTGTCGGCTGAATTATGCGAAGCTACTTTTCCGCCGTGCAACGTGGCGGGTTTGTCACTTCCCCGAACTGGCAGCATTTGAGATTTTAGTTATTCGTAGTAATTTCGTATCATGGCAACAAAGTGCACCTGGTGGTATTCTACCATAGTGCTGTACTCTCCCGCTCCTCCCTGGCTCCATCCCTTCGCTCGCGGCCTTTACCAAACCGATCCTGTCCCTCGGATCGCGTCTTATTGATTGACAAATGGCTTGCTATTGATCTTCTGCCCGCCCATCCAAGCTCTAGTGTGCCGTCCTTGTCCGCCGCCTGTGCCCTTAGACGCCAACTCCTTCACCGCCCGTGTCTCCACATTTGTTCTCTTTGCTTTTTTTTCCCTGCTTACACCATCATGTCTTTCTCCTTATCTTCCAGGCATGGCATTTGCAAATGCCAGAATCATCATTGCTTACATGCTAGATCAACTTACGTACGTGTACGAGATTTATGTCTTGTGACGTTTTTTGGAAGTTGCTTTGCCTGCCTTGTCTTATGTTTACTATTGCTCTTCTCTTTGCTTTATTTTTCCCCTTATTACACTATCCGGTTTTTCTCAATATCCTGCAGGCATGGCATTTGCATATATCAGTATCATCATTGCTTACATGCTGGATAGTTTACGTACATGTACGAGGATTATGTCTTGTGACTTTGGTTTGGGCTCCCTTGACTTCCTTGTCATGTTCTTTGCTAATTCTCTTCTCTTTGCTTTAATTTTTTCCCTTCTTTCTCCATCCTGTCTTTCTCATTAGTATGCAGGAACGGCATTTGCATAAACCAGCATCATCAGTTCTTATATAATCGATAATATACGTACATGTACGAGAATTATGTCCCGTGACTTTGGTTCGGGTATCCTTTGACATCCTTGACATTTTTTGCTAATGCTCTTCTAAACCATGTGTTACCTATTCTCTTCATCGTGACATAAATGCGTTAGTAACTTGCATCGTTAGCAATGATTAATTTACCAGAAAGTGTATCATTTATTCATCTCAAATATGAACACATTCGATTTCCACATTCGATATAGAGTAACCACATGACCGGAACAAGTTTCCTTGTGGATATCTGTAAGCAACAACGTCAGTGAAAATTATGTGTAGATTTTCTTTCTTTCTTTCTTTCTTTCTTCTTGTCCACAACTTCTTCTTCTCTATTCTGCTAGATCAAACGTCACGAGAGATGACTCGATAGGATTGTGAATCTAAATTTCAACTATTTTGACGGCCGAGGAATTTTCTTTAAGTATGGAGAACGCGATGAGGGTTACGGAGGATGTATTTGAGTATTTGGTACGGCAGGCCGTGTGTGTGTGTGTGTATATATATATATATATATATATATATGATACACTTTTCCTCTTCCCACACAATGTTTATCTTGAAGACTCTTATAGAGATTGCACAGCCGATTGCAAAACATATTGGCCTTTAGGGTAGAGTGAACCATTTGCTGCTAGGGTAGCTCAAGACGTCAATTTGTAAATGTTGAATTGCCACATCCTTAATTGGCTAAGGAATGGAAAACAATCATATCTCTGGCAGACCATCGTGAGTCACGATGGTCACACATGGGTCACGATTCGTGACCCATGTGTGACCAACTGAACCTACTGAAGCAATCCCATAAAGGAGTGCAAATTACAGAGTGTTTCTTATCTTATAAGTACAATAGGAGATATTGTGAAATGTTTTATGGGTTACGGGACAAGCATTTACCCGATCCTGAGAGGGCAGCCTGTAATTTTAAAGGGTTACATGCATATTTTAAATTTATATAATCAAATTATTAGTTGAATCTGTAAAAAAAAATTATGTTGAGAAGAATTATTTTTGCCTTGATTTTTCACCTACAAGATTGTGCAGACTTGTTCATCTTAAGCTTTATTTATTTATGAGCACTAGGTTTAAATTACTCAATTCATTTTTTATATGTCATGCGTCTATCTTGGGAGCACCTAATGACACTAGAGAAACGATATAAGACTTACAAATATAATTTCTTCTATGATGTAGAAGAAAACCACTTAAAAGTTGTAGCTACGAGTATCTTTATCCAGATTTACTCGAAGAAGTTAAAAATATAACGGATAAAATTACTTTGAAATTTTACCTTTGCATACTGGAAGTTCCCAAGCCGTGATGTTTTTTGTCACATGTGTATTTGGATTTGTTATGAAGTGGAATTATTTGTTCACATTAAAGAAATTAGATCAAGCATGACCTTACCAGAAAACAAAAGAGCTAATTATGTACATGGGGTTATAACATTATTCATTTCTACTTTGATACAGAAGCGAAAGTTTAATGAAGTCGTAAATTCTCTCCGATGAATCCACGTAAATGTTTGTTTGGACACACACTTAAATCTAGTTGAAAAATCGTCAATCTACGTTTTCTAGATCATTGACGTAGGACCATGTTGAGCTGACTCAGTAGTTTAACTTACAAGACAATAGTTATGCACTAACTCTCCATTCCGTTCACAAATTCATTTTTTTATAGTATGCAAACCAATTACATAACAACAACTAACCTGTGAAATAAATCTCATCATTGAATATTTTTTATGAGAATCACAAGAATTTCATCAGAAAGTATCTAAGGCAAAAGTAGATAGAATTTTCATTTCTTACTTTTATTAGATTAGAAAACCTTTATATGAAACACACTCTTCCATTGAATAAGTATTTAAAAACAATACATGAAAATCAAGATATTGACACTTTTTCCGTTCGCATTATTATTTTATATTTTTTTCATAATGAGAATATATGTATAAATATTCAAAATATTTAAATTTTCTTCCAATTTCTTCTTCTTTCAAGTATCTCAAAATTATTATTTTCTCAAGAATATATTGATAGTATTATAAGTCATGATAATTAATGATCAAATTGAGCTATAATCTAGTTTAAAATCTCAGTCTATTTCTACTTGTGTTCTTGCTAAGAAATTACAGGGTGATTAACAACACTCCAAAGGAATCTCTTTTCCATTGCAGTGGCTTTACTCGTGATATCACGCCTAAACGAAATTCAGAAGTACTTTTCAAAAGGCTGTAGAAGTGAGAGATTTGCTTGATGGGACCCCTACGCAAAGTAATTTGCGTGTTGGGACCCCTCAGGTTTCGTTTTACCCTATGGGACCCATGAACAATGCACCGTCACCTATATTCTAATAACGACTTGAGTTTTATAGAGAGTGCAACGAGTCAACCACACCTGCGGACAGAGTGTACTTCGATCCTCCATCACCACTCCCCCAGGTGACGAGCAAAGAAATGCTCATCCGGAGTTTATTTGTTCGTCACAAATGGATGATCGCGAGACTTGAACTCAGACCACTTTCCTCGTCTTCGTCGCATACACAAGGTTACGGAAGGAGGGTGCAGGTGGGAGGCAGCAGAGAAATCCGCGAATCGGTGCGATCGGGAGAATTGAAGCACAACAAATTGCCCCCGTGATAATACACCAGAAATTAGAATCAGAGATTGATCTCTGATTGTACTCCCTGCATTGTAACTAGTAGTAATCATAGTTACAAGAACTATGGCCGACGGCACACCGTCGTTCGGGTCCCATAGGGTAAAACTAAACCTGAGGAATCACATCAAGCAAATTACTTTCCGCAAGGTCCCATCAAACAAATCTCTCCTGTAGAAGTATTTGTTGGCTTCATGTGGGAAACACCGCACGTTAAACTTCCAAAAAATGTCATAAAGTAAGGCAAGATCTGGTGCATAATTCGTTGCAACTCAAAAGGAAATGAGAACAGTATTCCATGCTCAGAGACACGTATGAGGAGGGAAAATTACTGTTGCAACAGAAAAGCTTATCTGTTTTGTCCACTGCTCCAATGGTCAACCTCGACACGACAAAGACATCCCACGCAGAATTCGGCTCAGTACAACAAGCGCTACTGACATTGATACCTAAAAGGGAGGCACAAAATGCCATCTCCCCAAACAAGTGTTTAAAGTAAATCCCTGGTACATATAGGGCCCCTGACGAGACATTGAAGGTCAAAGTCAAAAACGTACCGTAGACAAAACAGTGGATTCGGATTTCCTACTCCGCTTGATATGTGTCACTATGCAGTGTATAGGAGACAAAATTCCGATTCAGAAATGGGGGTTGATTTTTTGTCCGTTTGTGGTTCTGGGCAACTGCTTCCTTCTCTTGGTGGATTGGAGGAGCACAAGGGAAGACACTAGGAGTTCATGTATACCGTGTTTTACTCAAGGTAATGGGTTCTCCTTCTGTGTTGGATAACATTCAAGTTATCGTGGTAACTTCGGTAGTCTCCATAAAGATTGACCTCCTCTGCTCCAATCACGATCCCATTTTGTTTGAACTTCCGCCGATGATAATATAGTCTCTTTTGTGTTATGCTTGACATATTGTTTTCGCTCCAATCAATTTCTCGCCTTTATGAATATTCTCTTGTCCCAAGGTATGTGTTCAAACATGGTTTATCATAAAGAAATAAAAAAAGTATCCTATAGTGTAACTTATTATCAATCACCGTCTCTCAGCTATTACGCCTATAATTTTTCCGCTTTCTACGATCAACCGCAGCTCAGACATTATTATCCCGGTCAAACGAATTCCACTTCCACGAGATGGTACCCTGAAACATTCTTTAAAAAGCAAAAGGAGAAACACAACCTCTGATCGTACACTGTTCTCACAGCCATCTATGTGATTCTTTCAAAGCACGATGAGATCTTTCAAACACCACTGTTTGAAGAATGCGTTTTTCGTGCAGCGGTTGTTTGAGGGCTTCAATTTCGGTTCGTTTCAATTTTTACCCATTTTTTTAAAAAATATATTAAGTTTATAATTACCACTGAAGATGGTGGCATAGAAAAAAAATATTTCGTTCCAACTACTCATTCCTTTGCTATCAAAGTAA